GCAGCATGTCTGGCCTTGCAGTAATAGGCCTTGGTTTACTGCTGGTAATCCTGCCTTCCCCTTGTAGGGTTAGAGGAGGTCAGAACATGTGGCCTCCTTGTAGTTTTAGCACTGACCTAGGGCCAATTAGTTCATCTTTCTGTGCCTCAATTTCCTCATCTGGGAAATGGATCAATGGTGTCATTCTCACAAGGAGAAGAGGGATGGCAGGGTAGAGTGGAAAGAAGCCAGAACAGGGATTCAGGATACCTGACTTGAGCTGAGATTAAGGCAAGTTCCATGGGGTCACCTCAGGGATGCTGTCCCTTCTCTGGGCTTCAGTTCCTTCATCTAAGAAAGAAGTCCATTAGGATGGCTTCACTGGAAGTAGGGATATATTCTGGACTCCTCACTAAGAACTAGACATCTGGAGTCAGGCAATGTTCCATTTGTATTTTTCTACTGTTTTTCTTATGCAAGGCTTGAACTTATCTCCTAGTTCTTATTCAAAGTCTACACAAAGTTGGTTGTTGTAGTGGACATCTGTAGGGTTTGCTTGCCCGGTGTCCACCCCTCTTCTCTCATAACAATACCTCAATTTTTCTTGGAGAAATCACACTACTCCCATCCGTGGTCCATGTTTGAGTGTGATTGTGACCCACATCTAAATTCAGCATAGTGCCTAAGGCATTTGACTGCTAACCAGAAGTCTGGCAGCTCAAACCCACCAGCCACTCCTCAGAAAGAAGGCTGGGCAATCTACTTCCATAGTGATATCACCTCAGAAACCCAAGGAGGAGTTGCTATGAGTAGGGCCCGACTCAATGGCACATAATAACAACAACAACAGCAGCAACAATGATTGGCTCAAGGATGGGTACAGGACCCAGTCTGAACCAATGAGAATCAGGTCCAGAGCTTTGTTTAGAACTCTTGGAAAGAGAGATTCTTTGACTCCGCTAGACTTGGCACCCTAAGGACATAAGCCTGGAACTTTCAGAGCTACCACATCTGCCTGCCTGAGAGTGTGGCCAGCCCAGAGGAGATCAGAGGTGACAGATAAGGAGCCCAAAATGTTCCTAATGGCATAATTGGAACCTCTGGATTCAGCTGTGCCTGAATTCAGTCCTAAACTTAAACTATTTGAATATATGATCCAATAATTCCCTTTTTGGCTCCAGCCACTAGCAATGGCTTTTCTGTCACTTGCAACCAGATGCAACACGGTCAATGGACTCCCTCTCCCAATCATGTTCTCTCTACCTCCAATAAACTCCCTCTCCCAATTACGGGAGAATCTGAGTGAACAGGGTGGGAGGGGAGTGCTGACATTAAGAGAGATTTTGCAATGACCAGAAGAGCAAAGGCATTTCATGGGATACATGCCTTGACCAAAGAAGGGCATCCTGGAGACAAAACAAGATGAGTGTATTGTCTGTTTCTCCTCCAGTCCTCTGGCTGCAAAAAGAAATAATAAAATCTCCCACATCATTGTCATCATGTTGATCTTTCTCTTCTTCTAAGTCATTTTTAAATTGCTCTCAAGTCCCTAAAGAGCTACAATTAGTAAAAGGAGGGAGCTGACAGTGGTAACAATGCCGACAAACTCTAAAAACCAAACTCACTCCCACTGAGTTGAATGCAACTCATAGAGATTCTCATTTGGTTTTCAAGGCTGTATATAAAACTTTATGGAAACAGAGTGCCCCGTCTTCTTTCTGCAGAGCGAGCAGCTGGTGGGTTTGAACCATTGACTTTTTGGTTAGCAGCCAAATGCCTTAACCACTACACCACCAGAGCTCCAGTAACAACGCCTAGAGCCCTTCAAGTCCTAGATGCAATCATCTGATTAGGTGATGCCCAAAGTGTAATTTTATGTAAGGCTAGGTGCTAACAAAATTAACTAACCTGCACCTCAAAAGTAGAAAATTACTCCTTTTTTTCAGTGCTCTGTCAACTCTTCTGCTTTCAATCAAGGAAAATGCCCAATTTAGTGCAGGAGGGACCAGTCCCTGCAGAAGGACATCATGCTTAGTAAAGTAGAGGGTCAGGGAAAAAGAGGAAGACCCTCAAGGAGGTGGATTGACACAGTGGCTGCCACAATGGGCTCAAATATAGAAACAATTGTGAGGATGGTGCAAGGCTGGGCAGTGTTTACTTCTGCTGTATGTAGGGTCACTATGAGTCAAACCGACTCAATGGCACCTCACAACAACCACAACAACAGTTTCTTCCAATTGTGATGTTGATGAAGAATATGGAATATACTGTGGACTGCAAGGAAAACAAACAAATTAATCTTCAATGAAATACAACCAGAATGATGCTTACAAGCAAAGATGGCAAGACGTTGGCTCGCTTTCTTTGAACACGTTACCAGGAAAGACCAATCACTTAAAAAGGACATCATCAGGGGTAAAGAGAATTTGTGCAGGTGAAGGAGGCCCTCAGCGAGGTGGATTGATACAGTGGTCGAAACAATGAACTGAAACATAGATAGCTATGGTCTTGAGGATGGTGCAGGACCAATGTTTTGCTCTGTTATACATAAGGTCACCATGAGTCACAGGCCAATTGATGTCAACTTACAACAACCAATCTCCTTTTTTAACTAAGAGGATAGGGGTCCTAGGCTCAGAGCCTTAGGCAGGCAACATACCCAGCTAGGCTTTAGTGACGTCTTTGCTTTTATTGTATTTACTTTTATGGTTACTGGTTTCCCATTTATAGTAATGATATCAACATCAGTTTTTAAATAAATATTTTAAGTAAAAAAATAAATGAATCATTATAGAGGAAAAAGTAATAGTGTCGATGGTGTTATGTTGGTGTTGGTGTGTGTTGTCAAGCCAATTTCAACTCACAGTGACCCTATAGGACACAGCAGAAGTGCCCCGTTAGGTTTCCTAGGCTGTAATCTCTACGGGAGCAGATGACCAGGATTTTCTCTCACAAAGCTGCTGGTGGGTTAGAATGGCCAACCTTTCATTAGCAGTCAAGGGCTTAACCATCGCAAAACCAGGGCTCAGATGTGGCTAAAATCGAGAGGACGATACAAGAAGGATTAAAATTTGGGAGACATTGTTTTAATTGAACTATGTCTGCACGCAAACTTTAGGTTTCTGCTCCAGACTTCACATCTGAACCCGTCCCCATCTGCCTTCTCCTCTCTGCCATATATTTCTTCTCGAATTCTCACAACTGCTGCTGAGAGATCGGGTGTAGAGTTAACAGGGTTGTAAGGAAGTACTCACAGGTTCTTAAAGGCATCCTCACGAAGGTCCCAAGGGAGCCTCTGTGTAATGTCTGGCTGGAGAAAGCTGCCTGAGGACCCTCTCAGGAGCCTGCCCAGGATTTCCACACACTCCAGGGCATTCAGCACCTGGAAACACCTCTCCAACGTGACGAGAAACAGGCTGCGGTTCACACCAGGGCTCTGCAAGGCTTGTTCCTGAATCTCTCCCAAGTCAATGATGATGTCCTCCAGCTCCTAAAACAATGAGAGACCCCAAGGTTGTCTTCAGAGCTGCCTCTCACTTTGAAAGCCCTTGGAGGGACCACACTTTGCAGCAGTGGAGAAATTTTTAACTAACACTACAGGGTTGCTATGAGTTGGAATCACTCAATGGCAATGGGTTGGGTTGGGTTGGGTTGGTTTAATACCATACTGCTATGTCAAACTTTCTAGAACTCTCCATTGCTTATAGCACAAAGTCAAAGACTTCACCTGCTTCACCCATACTAGGTAACTTCTGACTGTCCAGACACACTATGACTGTTGCACTTCAGGCCACTGCTCTAGTTGGAATTCACTTCCCATCTCCTTCTAAAAAAAATCTATAATCAAAAAAACCCCAAATTACTTGTTGTCAATTGACTCGTAGCAACCCCCTGTGTGTCAGAACAGGACCGCATTCCATGGGGTTTTCAATGACAGTGACCTTTCAGAAGCGTATGACCAGGTCTTTCTTCCATGGGTGGGTGTGAACCAGCAACCTTTCAGTGTGTAAGTGAGCACTTAACCATTTGTGCCACCCAGGGCCTTCTTAGAAATCCAACTCATCCTTTATGGCCAAGCTCAGTCATCACCTCCTTGGTGAAATTTTCTCTGTTCCCTTCTGAACTCAGCCAAAATGAGTCTCCCTCCACCATGTGCTCCCGGAGCATCTTCAATGAAACTCTACGATGCATTAAGATATTTATGTGCCTGTCTTCCTGCAAACTAGTGGTTTTCACTCCTGGCTACACACCAGATTCTTTTTTTTTTTTTTT